TTGCCTGCCCAGTCTGTGGGCAGAGGTGGGTGAAGCTTGGGAGGCTGTTGCTGCTTTGAGAGATGAGCTCCCCAGGGCTCAAGAGGAGATGGGATACAGGCAGAGAGTGACTGCCCCAATCCTGCTGCCGGGAGCATCCCTCTGTTAGAGGGGACCCTGTCCTTGAGAACCATTCCTGCTGCAGGTGGGCCCAGCCTCATCTTGGGGAACTGCTGCGTGGGGAGATGCAGTACTTGAGCACTGACTGAAGCGTTCTGGGAGCTGGGACAGGCCATGTCATAGGATGGGGTGGCTGTGGCCCGGCTCCCTGCAGAGTCACAAACCTGGGCTGCTCGTGGCAAGCTCCACCTCACCCTTTCTGCTGCAGGTTCAACCGTAACGGGCACCTCAAGTTCCACATGCAGCGTCTGCACAGCTCAGAGGGGAAGAGGCCAGGGGCACCTGCAGCTGCTGCCCCCCAGACCATCATCCTGAAAAGCGAAGAGGAGACGCTGGCCACGCTGCAGAGTAAGATGTGTCCTGTGGGCAGGGCGTGGGGATTCACCTCGCCCAGGGGTCAGGGCCAGGGGACCCCTGCTGCTGGTTGAGTGCCGGCGGTGCAGGGACAGGGCTGGGCACAGGGAGCTCTCCCGTGAGGCGCTGGCAGAGTGGTTCTGTGTGGAACTGGGGTCTGGGGGTTCCTGCAGGCACATCTCAGTCGCCCAGGGCGTTGGGGGAGCAGCACTGCTCTGAGCAGGTCACAGCTGAAAGGGGAAGCACAGTTCATGGTCTGATGTGGAGCTTGTTCTGCCCGCAGTGAGCTCTAGTTCCCTTCATGTTGGGAGAGTTTGGTTTAGCTTCTGACCTGTGAGCAGATCTCAGAGAGCATCCAGCTCCTGGCTGGGGCAGGCCCTGGGCAGGGGCTGCTCAGGCCCAGGGCCAGCAGTGCCCACAGCCCCGGCACTGCCCACAGCCCCAGCAGTGCCCACAGCCCCAGCAGTGCCCACAGCCCCAACAGTGCCCACAGCCCCAGCACTGCCCACAGCCCCAGCACTGCCCACAGCAGCTCTCTTGGCGTTGCAGCGGCTCTGCAGTCCGGCCAGGCCATGCTGGCTCCCGAGCGGCTGCAGCAGGCTCTGGGGCAGGAGCACATCATCGTCACGCAGGGGCAGAGCCTCACAAGCCAGGTGAGCCCCATCTCCTCCTGCCCAGGAGCTCAGGGGGTTCCCTGCTCCAGAACCCGCTGACACTGGCTCTTGCTGACCTGCAGGAGGAGGCTGCGTACATCCAGGAGATCACAACTGCTGATGGACAGACAGTGCAGCACTTGGTGACCTCTGACAACCAGGTGAGGGGGCTTCTGTGCAGCTGGAGTGGGGAGAGGTGAGGTGGGGACAGGAAACAGAGGAGAACCAGCCTTGCCGGGGAGGGGCATTGGGCAGTGGTGACATTTCTTTGGGTCTGAACCCCTGTATTTGCAGGTTCAGTACATCATTGCCCAGGACAGTGTACAGCATTTGCTTCCCCACGAGTATGTTGTTGTCCCAGGGGGTCATCACATCCAGGTAAGGTTCAGGCTGTCTGCTCCCTTGGTGTGGTGGATGGGCTCCTGAGCCTGCATGTGTGGGGCTGGGCCTCCTTGCTTCCTGTGGCTCACTGTGCTCAAGCTACAGCTCTTTTGAGGGCATGGATACCTGATGGTCCTGACACAGCCTCACGGCAGCTCTTGTCTCCAGGTCCAGGACGGGCAGATCACCCACATCCAATACGAGCAGGGCAGCCAGTTCCTGCAGGAGCCGCAGGTGAGGGGCCAGGCCTGGTGCCTGTTGCAGGTGGGCTGGAGAGGGAGGGTGGCAAAGAGAAGGTGCGTGTGTGTTGGTGGCTCAGTCAGGAGCCTCCTGTGCTCTCCTCCCTGCAGATCCAGTACATGCCAGTGTCTCCTGAGCAGCAGCTGGTCACGCAGGCGCAGCTGGAGGCAGCGGCACACTCGGCAGTCTCAGGTAGGAGCCCGGAGCCAAGCTCTGCTGTAGCTCTGGCAGCTCTGTCTCCCACCAGGTCTTGGGGTGCTGCTCCTGCCGGGCGGTTTGTGGTGCCCGTTGGCAGCTGCTGCCCTGCCATGGGCCCAGCCCAGCCCTGCTGCAGGCGCTGCTCCTCTGCTGTAGCTGATGGGGCGGCTGTGCCGTGGCCGTGGCCCCCAGGCTGGGGAGGTGAGGCCCCACGGCTGCTTCATTCCCTGAGTGCCTGCAGTTCTGGGGGGGGGAGCCCCGGTGCCTCACCTCTGCTGGCCCAGTTGCGGAGCAGCGGCAGCTCCCTTCCCCTGGGGCAGAGGTGCTGGGAGGTGCAGCAGCTTCCCTGATGTGTTCGCAGTGAACCGGGCTGGCTGGGAGCGAGCGCGGGGTCCCCTGTGCTCAGGTCAGGCTCCTGCCTGTGGGCGCAGGGCCCCGCGCAGCCCCGCTCTCACCGCTCTCCTTGCAGCAGTGGCTGACGCGGCCATGGCCCAGGCGCAGGGGGTGTTCGCGGCCGAGGCAGCGGCCGAGCAGATGCAGCAGCTGCAGGAGGGGATCCACTACGACGTCATCACGCTCACAGAGTAGCACCAGGGCCCCCCGTGCCGGCAGGAGCCTCCTCAGCAGTTGCCTTATTGCTTCAGGGCCATGGGGCCATGCCTGAGCTCTGCTGTGCCCCGCGAGGCTCCTGCGCCTCGACAGCAGCACCCGCTCCGCAGCCGCGGGGCAGCACTCATCTGCCAGGGCTCTGCCTGGTGCAGTGGATGCTCGGAACTCTTCCTGAATCATGTTTGCATGGGCCAGGGTCTGCTGCAGGAGGATTGTGTAGCCACAGCCATGCACTCCCTGCGTGTGGGGTACTCAGCCTTCCCTTGGCTTCTCCGGCCTGCAGGCAGGCAGCAGTGGGGCTTTGGACTGGAAGAACCCAGAGCAGGACGTGGCAGTGGGGGAAGATGCTTATGAATAAAAAGGGATTGAAACCTGTGCCTGTGTCTGCCTGAGGAGCCAGGGGCTTCCTCTGCCTCTGCTGCTTGTCCCTGGGGAGCCTGAGCCTGGCGCTGGAGCCAGCCCCATGCGGCTGCACTCGGCTGTTGGCTTCCTCTGCCCGAGTGACCTTGACCGGTGGGAAGCGAGGCGGGCATCAGCTGCAGCGGTGGGCTTGGGGCTGGAGTCATGAATTAATCGAGTGGTAAACAGCCTAAATCCCGTGTAACTGCCCCGGCCTACAGCGGCCTCCCCCGAGCGGATTGTCTGCAAGTGTTTACATGTGATTAGAGCAGCTAATCTCGGAGTTTTAGTTGGGTGCTCTTGCATTAAACTGATTATCTGCAGAGGGGAAAAAGGTCCAGAACCACCCAAGTTCAGCGCGAGGCAGCTGTGCCTGCCCCCGTGCCTGCCTGGCCGGGCTCCCCCCTCCAGCTGTGCCGAGCAGGGTTAAGGGCCGCTGCAGCATTCCCTAGATTACAGCCCCATTATCTAATAAATCGGATCCTCGGCCACTGGTGCTGATCAGGGATGGAGGAGTCCCATGGGGACAAGGTTACGGAGCCGCTGTGGGGCCATGGCCAGGACTGATCTCGTCCTTGGTGCCTGGGGGCTTCCATGGCTGTGGCTGCCAAGAGCACGGGAGCAGCTGAGGTGGGGATGGGATGGACGGGACAGAGCTCCCGGCTGCCACACGTGGGGAGCTCCGGCGCTGCTGGGGCTCCGGCCAAAGCCACAGCGGGGGCTTGGGGCCCCTCGGTCCTGGCACCTCGGCCCTGGGAGCTTGTGCTGTCAGCAGAGGCCTGCAGGCAGGCCAGGGATGTGGCAGGGCTCAGCAGCACCGGTGACCTTCCCGTTCCCGTCCCGCCAGCGCTAAGCGGGTTTGTTACATATTTAATATCCTGAGAGCGTTATTATCGGTATTTAATGACGGATACAACCTGTGGGATAATCCCGCTCTCAGCGGGGGGGCGCAGCGGCAGCAGCCGATGGCTCAGGGGGTCGCAGGCTCCCAGGGCCCCTCGCACAGCTGCCCACAGCTGCCCTGCCTGCGCCCTGCCTGTCCCCTGCCTGCCCACTGCTGCCCTGCCTGCGCCCTGCCTGCCCCCTGCCTGCCCACTGCTGCCCTGCCTGCGCCCTGCCTGTCCCCTGCACCCTGCCTGCTGCCCCCTCGTGCAGGCAGGAGCACCGCGGGGTGTCCCCCTCTGAAGAGGGCCCCCAGAGGGGCTGTGCTGCCCCCTTGCTCCTGGCAGCACTGGGGCCGGCTGAGGACCCGACCAGGACAGAGGAGCTGTGGGCTCCAGGGCAGCACCAGCACCACGCACAAGTTCCCATCCTGCCGCAGCGTTGGGCTCTGCTGACCACAGCCCTGGGCACTGCAGCAGGACCGCAGCGTGCCCTGTCCCGCCTGTCCCCATGGCCGTGGGTGTCTGTGGGACTCACGTGAGCCCCATGCACCCCGTCCCTGGGGGCTGCACTGGGGCCATGCAGTGTTGGGGGCCTCCGGACACATCCTGGCCGGTGAGGGCTGGGGGGAGGCGGCTCCGGGGGGGTTGTACCGGCTGCCCCAGATCCCTGCGCCTGCTCCCGTGGGTGCTAATACCCCCTAATCAGCTGTCACTCACCGCAGACCCCGGCAGCTATAAAACACCCCCGAGCCGCTCCCTGCCTCCTCTCCCTGCACCATGGCAGCACCTCGGGGCGAGGGGAGCCCAGGCCGAGAACTGGGAGGCTGCGGGGGACCATGGGGGGCCCTGCGGGGACCCCCCCAAGCCCTGCTCCCCTGCCCCTGCCCCGTGCTGGCCAGCTACAGCCTCCTGGCACCCCCCCTCACCCTCCTGGCACCCCTGGTAAGCGCCGCTCGGGGGTAACTGGGAAGTGGGACCCCCCCTCCGCCCTCAGCACTGGGCCGGGGCTGTGCGGGGTGGTTGGGGCTGGGGAGCTGCTGTCCTGGGCCCCTGCACCCCCCGGCACTTTGGGGCCCCAGCCCCGCCCTGCCCCGACACCCTCTGCCCCCAGGTCCATCCGGCCATGGAGGGGCCGCTGGGGCTGCCGGCGGAGCCAGGGCGGGCGAAGGCGGCAGCGGCGCGGGAGAGCACCGGGGCGCTGAAGGCGTGGCTGGCGCGGCACCCCCGGAACCCGTACCCCAGCAAGGGCGAGAAGGTGATGCTGGCCGTGGTGAGCAGGATGAGCCTCACCCAGGTCTCCACCTGGTTCGCCAACGCCCGCCGGCGCCTCAAGAAGGAGAACAAGGGGAGCTGGGCCCCGCGCGGGGCCTCGGACGGCGACGACAGCGAGAGCGAGGGGGGCCCGGGAGCACCCCCCGGCCCCGGCCCTGCGCAGGAGGGGGGGCCGGGCCCCGGGCAGGGCAATGAGCCCCCAAAACCCAAGATCTGGAGCGTGGCGGCGATGCTGGCACCCAGCGAGAGCCGGGAGCAGGCATAGGGGGCTCGATGGGGCCGCGGGGAGGGCACAGCCCGGGGCTGAGCACAGGGACACGGGGACCCAGCCCCGGCAGCTGCCCCGCTGAGCAGAGTGCGCGGTGCAGGGCACGGGGAGCTAATAAATAAACGTCACTGTCCTGGGCATGCTGGTGCTGCCCGGCTGCAGCGGGGATGCTGGGGCCCAGTAAGGATCCAGGGCTGCCGGTGGGGGGGATGATGGGGATGCTGGCGGGATGGGGGCATCGCCACTGGTCAGCTCCCAGGGAACTGGGCAGAGCCTGACTCGAGCTGCTCGGGCTCCCCTTTGCCCAGGGTCCCGCATGGGGTGGGCTCACGCGTGGGGCGCAGGGCTGGGGGCGGCCATTCCTGCTCCCACAGCGCAGGGAGGTGCAGACAAGGGGTGAGGGGGATGTGGGAGGCACCACACAGGGATGGCACCGACCGGACATCGGCTGCCAGGCCCGGGCCCAGGCTTCTGTTCCGGGGCCGGGTTGTGGCAGGCGGCTCTGCACAGCCCCGGGGTGCAAAGGGGGCCAGGGCAGGGAGAGGAGAAGGGAGCAGGGCCCTGGGAGGCAGAGACGGGGCAGGGCTGCACCACGGAGTTTAATGCGCCAGAGCTGGAAACGGGCTCTGCCCGCGGCTGCGGTTCCCCTCCTGGCGGCCGCTCCGCACTCAGCCCGGGTCCCGCTCTGCTGCGGGGGATGACGAGGGTCAAGGCTCCGGGCTGAGCGCTCCGGGGCTGCACCGAGCTCCTGCAGAAGCCGGCGCTGCTCTGCGAGGGGCAGCAGCAGGCACGGATCTCCCCATGGTCCAGGCAGGGCTCCAGGCCGGGTCAGCCGTGGGGCAGGAGCACCCATAGCCAAGGGACAAGGCTCCAAGGTGCCCCGAACCTCCCCTGCGCGGCACAGAGCTCAGCAGGCAGGGTCAGGAGTGGGGAAACCCAAAGACCTCGCGGCACAGACACTGGCAGAGGCTGTAGATGATGCAGAGGAGGAGGGTGCAGGGGACGAGGCTGACGAGGACGATGCCCAGGCTGTGGTGCTCAATGAGCAGGAGGTAGATGCCGAAGGGCAGGGAGCTGAAGTAGAGCAGGCAGAGGACGCCCAGGATGAAGCGGGGCACTGCTCGCCACCCCCAGGAGCGGCACTTGTGGCCGGGCCCGCGGCAGGGCAGCGCGCCTAGGCTGGCCGGGCGGTACAACCGCACCACCTCCAGCCTGCCCAGCCCCTCGGGCGGGGACACGTCCTCGGGCACCTCCAGGATGGTGACCACCAGGCACTCGGGGCTGGGCGCGGGCTCCAGCACGCTGGGGCACAGCAGGACCTCGGGGGAGCGGGGGGGCCCCCGCTGCTCGTCCCGCTCAGAGCCCGTCAGCAGCGCCAGCGCCTCGGCATCGTCCCGCAGCCGCTGCACGTCCCCAGCGGGCACGGGGCTGTGCTGGCGGCAGAAGGGGCAGCGGAGCTGGCGGGGGGATGCATCCCCCGGCGGCACCATCTTGCGCAGGCACCGGGCGCAGAGGCGGTGGCCGCAGCCGAGCACCTTGGGCCTGCGGGAGCGGGCGTCGTAGCGGCTGTAGCAGATCTTGCACTCGAGCTCGGCAGCCGCCAGCGCCGTCGTCCGAGGGCCGGGCTCGCCGTCCCGCTGCGCCATGGTCCCGGGGGGCGGGCCGGGGGCTGCCCGCGCTGGGGGCAGAGGGGACCCGCTCTGAGCTCCGAGGGCCGGGTCCCGCCTGGCCCCATCGGCAGGGTCCTGCCCAGCCCCAGGGCAGTGCAGCTGCGGCACCGGCACCAGCAGCTGCCCCCTCCCAGGGCTGGCACAGCCCGGATCCAGGCGCTGGGGCTCAGCCGCATCCCTGCCTCGGTGTCCGGCTGGGAGGGAGGCACCGGCACCGGCACCGGCTGCAGGGTGAGGGCCCTGGGCCCGGGTGCTCGTCCCTCCCCATGTGTGCAGGCTCCTGGGGCTTGGACACGGGCTCTGCTGATTGCAGGGACCACCCTGCCCTTCACCTCCCCAGCACCCTCCGTACCTGCGGTGTGCACCGGGGCTCCGGCGGGGGACGCAGCCGTGGGTCGGTGTCCGTCGCGGAGACAGGAGGGGGGCCGGCAGCAGCGGGCACCCCATGGGGAGGTGTGGGGCTGCTGCTCACCACGCTGCGGAGGCCCTGGCGCAGGGGCTGCCGGCATCCAACGCGGCGTTGGCCTGGCAACGGAGAGCGGGAGGAGGATGCTCGGCCGGGGCCGGTGCTGTGCGGAGCTCGGGTCAGGCTCACGCACACCGCGGGGCACAGCCGGGGCGGGGGCATCCCCTGGGCCCCTTACAGGCTGCAGGCGGTCGGTGCCGGGGGATCAGTGCAGCTCTGCTGCCCCTTTGCTCCTGCGCGGCCCTGAGGATGCTCCCTCCCTGCCTGGGGATGCGGCAGCAGGGACCCTGCAGCCCCTGGCCCTGGGGACAGCACGGCCGCAGAGCGGGGTCCTGGGGCACCCCCAGCACTGGCATAGCCCCGGCCCGGGAATGGCGGCTCCTGCTCAGCCCCGGGCACGAACGCCCCTGGGGAGGGCCCCGCACGCCCGTCCCGGCCCCAGCAGCACCTCACAAAGCAGGTCCTGGGGTGCAGGGAAACGCTCGCCCCTGCCTGCATGTGCCTGGGCCCCTCGCCCCACCCCTGCAGCCCAGGAGCCGGGGCTGGGGGCGCACGGGGGCTGCGGCACTTCCCAGATCCAGGCACCCCCTTACCCCAGCCTGTGCCAACGCCCCCCGCCTGCCCCCCTCACAGGGCCCAGTGTTTCCAGGAGCCCCGATGGGCAGGGGCAAGCAGAGCCCCCCCAGCCCGGGCAGGACAAACCCCGCTCCCAGCGCTGCCCCGCAGGAGGACCCCAGCATGGCCCCAGACCCGCCTGAGCCTGGATGTGCAGGTGGGCTCCAGCCCTCACCAGTGCTGAGTCGCTGCCCCCAGCCCCCGGGGGTGGGACAGGGCGTCCGTGCCGCTCCCCAGGGAAATGAAGGCTTTGTCCTGAGCTCCAGACCTGCCCTGTAATTAACGCCCACACCCTGAGGAGCTCGGCTCTGGCCCACCCCAGCGCAGCCACTGCCACTGGAGCTGCCCGGAGGAGCAGCCATCAGCTCACACCATCTGCGAGCTGGGGATAAGCAGGGCCCAGGACCCGTCCAGCTCCCGGGAGCGCTGGGCTCATCCCCCCACTCCTGCCCATGCCCCCCCAGTGTTCCCAGCTGTGGCCCCGTCCCTGCAGCCCCTTGCACAGACCCGACTGGGTCCTGGGGTGCTGCTGCTCAGAACCCATCCCCTCCACTTGCTCAAGGGAAGCGCCAGGGATAGCAGCAACCACAAACCCCCCCCTTCCACCTTCTGCTCTCTGCCTGGATAAAGGGGGTGTCCTGCAGAGGAAAGCACGGGGCTCCCTGCACTGAGCACTCACCTCCACTGAGACCTCAGCAACGAGGTACTTACCAAGGCAATGGGCAGCACCTGGGGCCAGACCCCCAAGGAGCACTTGCTGACTCCCCCCAGGGCTCGTGCCTCCGCTCACCTGCACCTGAGGAACCAGCTCCCATGGCTCAAAGTATCGAGTACCAGGCAGAAAAGGTTTCTGAAGCTGCAGCTTCCAGGGCCAGGCGGTCTCAATGATCCCCTGGATCATCATGGAAAGCATCCCTGGAGAGCTGTGGGGATGCTGGAGCAGGGGGCACTCGGAGCCGGGCCCCTCCTGCCCTGTCCACGGGCAGGGAAATGCTCCAGAGGACTGCAGGCAATTCTGGGCCCGCAGGAACGCTGCATCAGGGAATGAGCACGGCTGTGAACCCCTGAGCCGCCCTCACAGCCTCAGGCCAGGAGAGACCGGGGGCAGTGACAGCTCCTTCACCCAACAGCCAGGACACGGGGAGACTGAAGGCAGGAGCTGAAGCAAGACCCCAGGGGGAAGTCGGGTGCATTCACCCCAGGAACCTCTCCTCTCACCAGGGCCATCAGGGCCCCCTGCAGGCTGCCCAGGCTGGCTCTTGGCATGGCACCGGTGGCTGCTTTGTGCCATGAGGCTCAGCCTGGGCCTCCCTGTCTGGGACAAAGGGCTCCCAAAGCACCAAGAGCTGAGACCGTGCGAGCCGACACGGGCTGGGTCTGCGCTGAAGAGGCCGAGCAGGAGCCAGGGCAGGGAGAGCCAAGCCCTCACCGTGGCAGCAGCTGGGGGGCTTCAGAGGCTCACACCAGCCATTGGGAAAAACCTGTTCCCAGGAGCCATGGGCAGCACAGAACGGGTCAGGTGGAGCTGAGAAACCCCAAGGGTTTTCTACCTGTCATCCAGAGGGAGGCCATGGGGTGAGCACAGCCCGGGCTGTGAGAAGGAACGGTGCGGAGCCGGCGCAGAGCTGTAATGCTGGTTTTTAATGTTCCTAAGAACTAGGAAACAGAAATCAAAAATAGACTTTGCTCTTCTTGATAAAAGTAATAAAATGGTTAGCGGTGTTAAATTAATCCTTAAAAAACAAAACCCAAGGAGGTTAAATAAAGCCCAGAGGCTCTGCGTAAAAACCACGACGACTACAAAACAGCTGCAAAGACTTTACACACCAAAGGAGCTCCTCTGCTCCGCTCCTCCCCATAGGGCAACACAGCGTCGGCGAACACGGGACTCACACAAGGGAAAGAAACACGGATGCGATGGGAGCAGCCTCGCGAGCTGCGGCGCCGCGGACGTAGCTATTTACACTATGGACACGGAGCTGCACTGGTGCCGCCCTGGCTGCAGGAGCCCCCGGGCTCTGCCCGGTGCTGTCCTGCCGGTGCTGGGCTGCGGGCGCTGCCAGGCCCCTCCAGCCACGGTGCCGGTACCGGTGCCGAGCACTCGCGCTTCCCGCCCGTCCCTCTGTCCGTCCTTGCACCGGGCCTGCGGCTGCGGCTGCGGCTGCGGCTGCCCCTTCCTTGGGCGCTGCGGCTCCTCCTCAGCACCGCGCCGGCTCCCGTGCCCGGCGCTGCCGGAGCCTCCCCTC